ATGACATCACATGACTCTGGGAGGACACGGTGGGCGGAGTCACCATCAATGACATCACATGACTCTGGGAGGACACGGTGGGCGGAGTCACCATCGATGACATCACATGACTCTGGGAGGACACTGGGGCGGAGTCACCATCAATTACATCACATGACTCTGGGAGGACACTGTGGGCGGAGTCACCAGCAATGACATCACATGACTCTGGGAGGACACTGTGGGCGGAGTCACCAGCAATGACATCACATGACTTACCCACTCTGTGCGCTATGAACTCATCATGGAGGACGGAGGAATTGGCGTCAATCTGAACCCAATCGATGGCTGGAAGAGACGGGACATCGTCATATTCATCCTCTGCTTCCCCCCCGCGTGTCAATCACAGGAGGGGGCGTGTCCTGTACCACCTGACCCCCCCCCCAAACTGAGATTCCCTTTATAGAGAAAATGACCCTCCCCCAATCCACCTGCTTGAAGCCAGAGGATCAGTATGACAGGAAGCAGAAGAGGTCAGAAATGGTAGCCCAGCACCGGTACTCAATACCGAGAAACCAAAATCGGGGCAACACCCCCCAACCAAACCACAGCAAGCCCCAACCAACCAACCACAGCTCCACACCCCCAACCGCAGCCGCCCTCCGGGGGACCCCTCCCGGCCTGTCAGTGAGGAAGCAGAGGTCTCTGCAGGGGGGATGAGGTGATTGGAGGGCTGTGACAGCGCAGCGGGGAGGGAACTCTGCAGAGACACCGCTGCTTCCACACATTGACAAGGCTCCTCCCCTCCCCTCCCCCTCCTCCTTACGCCAGGTCGGTGTTCTCGATGATAAATTTGACGTTCTCATCAGTCAGTTCGGTGATACGGACAGTCGGCTGGTTAGCATACGGCATTTTCACTCCGACCGGAAACCAGCATGAAAGAGACCGGAAACGTTCATATAGACAATACCAAAACACCGGAAGTCAAGCTGATAGAGCGAGGGTCGGGGATAGAAAGGTTCGGAATCCAGGCCTATAGAGTTCAAGGGGCGGGGACAAGGACCTATCACGTGTTCCCCCACAGAGAAGCGGCATGGCGGAGTTTGTTCAGCGCCGAGTGGAGGAGCAAATCCCCGAACTAGAACAACTGGAGAGAGTGGGACTCCTCACCCGGG